TTTTTTTTTTTTTGCTGGAAGCTAAGAAAACATTACCCTTCTCACATTCTTAGGAAGCCAGGCAGAGGCTGAAGATGGTAGAACTCCAAGAGATGAGTGGTGACATCCAAAAAATATGACCTGGAAGATACTTTGTAGTGAAGCTGAAATCTAGTGGCAAAGAACTTTCACCCCAACTTCAGAGTTAGGGGCTGTGGAGCTGATTGGTGCTGTGTTTATATGCCCTTGTCTCTTCTACTTTGTGCAACTCACGTCTTTCCATTCTCCAAAAGCCTTACTTGATGTTGAAGCATTCACACTTGTTTTAGGTTACTCTTTAGGCACTGTGTCAGCATTTAGGCAGGATTTAACCTGTGGCAAGATAGACATCCTTGACCTAAACCAGAGCTGGGTCAAATTCTTTCCTGCTAGATAACCATCCTTTCTAAGACCAGAAGGGCAAAAGAAAATGCTAACCCCATCAAGTTCCAGTGGTCTTCCACTGAGCATGTAAATATAATAAAAAGTTTCCTAGAAGTTTATCCATCTGAGAATCCAGAAGCAAACATTTGTTTTGTTCTCTAGAATTTACCTTATCTATTTAGAAAAAGAGAAGGAAAATTATTTCACAGTGCAAGTCTTGCTTGACTTACTGATATTTAATTCATTTAATGAGACATTTCAGCTCAGTAAAGAAAGGTTTATTTAAGACCAGGTCTAAATGGTGTTTTTTTTTAGTCTTAGATTTGAGAAATTATAGCAGATTATGTTAAGAGATGTTTTTAAATTTAACCAACTCATCGTTGTCTTTTTTTTTTTCCTTTCTTTTTCTTTGCTGAGTTTAGAATCACCTGGAGCTCTTTTCAAACTCTGGTTCTCCAGGCTATAAACCCTATAAATTAAATCTGAAAGCCAGGATTGGGAGCCAGCCACCAATAGTTGAAATTTCTGATCAGCAAAGAATAGGAAAAGAAAAACTTTGGGCTTAAGTAGCTCATTTCTAGGAGGCCAAGACAATCATACATTTAAAAATATTTCAAATACTCTAAGTCTTTTGCTGTGATCAAAGAATTTCATAGGCAACTGATCTATCAAACAACCTACAAAATGTGATACCATGCTAATAAAATTTGCCTCGTGGAGACTTGAAGCTGGACTGGGGGTGATGAATGTATTGAGCACAGAAAGAACATCAACTTCAATGTTTTCTTGATATTTTTCACAAAGTTGGCATGAGTCACAAAGATAAGCACAGACATGTTTATGAGCCTAAGGAAGGTGATCTGAATGGAAAGTGGACAGACCTCTTAGTCACCAGCAAAGAGCCCTTAGAGAGCCTCATTAAGGATTTAAGTGAATCATGATTATTCTTGAGCCTTGGGGGTGGAAAAGGGAAACCAGAGGGAGGCTCTTTGCACCTGCATTTTGTCCTGCCATTTGGACACTGGAAATTAATGTTATTGCACATGCATATTACCACTTCATGACGTCTAAAATTCTCTAGAATGTTCCCAAAGTGAAGCTCTTCCCTACCCCCACCAGCTGCAATGGGTGGGATTCAAGTCCCACTGAGATCAAAGAGCAAGCTTTTGCCTATAGGAAGGCCCATTGCCCCGTGAGTCAGCACCTGAACCCTGCAAGAATGCATAAACACACCAGCGCTGCTTTCTCGGGGGAAGCTGGGTGGGAAGGGGATTTAAAAGCCTGCAGCAGCCTGGGGTAAAGGTTGTTTGTCTTTTCTCCCTGGGGAAGCTGCTCACTCAATCCTGTCTTTGCTGAGCTGCTTCCCAGAGCCTGGAATAAGGCTAGTGAAGGTGGCTTTCCAATACATGTAGATGGATACAAGGTGCTCTGCAGTGCTTAGCTCTGTTTTCTGGCCTGCTGGGTCTTTAAAGGGCAATTTTTGACGCTGTGCAAACACTCCATTTGGGGTCTGGAAGTCCTCAGTCTAGACTGGACCAGCCTCCTGCTTGCCTCCCCCCTCTTTGGACCGGACTGAGGTTACAACTGGGACAATGGTATGTTCTTGAGCTCTCCTGCCCCAAAGGGAGTTGGGTTACTGAACAGTTCTAGGGCAGCCCTTTTGGGGAGCTGACCTTGGGCTTCTCTGGGGTTGAGGTTGTGTTTTGACAAAGCAGCTTGGTCAGTCCTGACAAAAGCGAGCTAGTGACTGAAAAGGAGGTGTGTGCTCTCTGCTGTATTTCCTCTTATCTTTTCTTCTCTCTTGTGTTCTTACCATAACCTAGATTATCACTGCTTTTGTGAAGGCTCCCTCACCCTTCTTATTTTGCATCGCCTCAAAAAGATCTTACCTTTCAAAATACACTTATGGGTAGAAGAAGGGAAAAGAAGTGTAAATTCATCTCTAAAGCAAGCTTATCTTTTTAGACTTGAGTCTTTTCAGTGGAATTCTACCTGACTGCTGCAGGACCTGCGTGAGACCTATTTGTGGTTTTGCTGCATTGTTGTGGACTAGTGGGTGGTTTTTGTATTTTTATGTTTTTGAAGGAATGATTGAACTTCATTAAAAAAAAAAATCTGAGGGTAACCAAGTCACATTTTTATAAAACTCCTATTTATTGCTCAGTAGGTGGGTGTTAGTTGGTGATATGTCTGGAGCCCCAATTTCCAGTGGGGGTATGGACAGATTTGCTCCCACCAGCGAGCAGGTCTGACACCAGCGGGGTGTTGGAGAATTCATCTCAGTTCTGACTATATACCTGCAGATAGTGTCAGGCTACCCAAGGGCTTCATGTCCTAAGCCCTCCCTCCACTCCAGAGGTCACCAGCAAGCCCCATTCAAAGTAGCTTCTGGCAAACAGGCCTCAGATAGACTCCCATGGCCAGACTGTGCCACTGGCCAGCTACTTATAAACCAGGTTTCCCTGATTTGCTAGCGACTCATGCAACTCTGAGCTTAGCAGATCACTGATTTATCAACAAAGGATATGACTCAACAGCCAGGTGGAAGGGGTGCTTATAACACACACTGGGAAAGGCAGTGCCCTCTCCAGAACTCCTTTCTCGCCTATCAGCAAGTATTCAGGAACCCGGAGCTCTCGCCGGCTTTTATGGTGCTTTATTACACGGGCGTGATTGATGAAGCCATTGGTGTGTATCTCAAACTCTAGCCCTCTCCCTTCCCTGGAGTCTGAGGGTAGGACTGATTTAAATTCGTATCCTGGCAACAGACCCCCTCCAGCTCAGGTGTTTCCCTCACAAGGCTTTTATTAACATAACAAGAGACACTTTATCATTACAACACTTAGAAAATGCCAGACTCTGGGCGCAAACCAGCTAGTTATGAATGAGATCTAGATTTGGTCATCTGAATGGCCAAACCTATCTTGTTTATCTTTTTTCCCCCTTCACTGGAGAGTTGAACCTTTGGCTTACCGAGAGTGTGGTGGAAAAGAAGCCTTCCAAGTGTCTATTGGCCTCATTCATGACTCACCTTGCCTAGTGTCACACCTTTTATCACTGTTGACAAGTTTAGTGTGTTTTCTGTCTGAACTTGCCTATAATTTGCCATAATCTTTTTGCTGTCTTGCAGGATTACCAGCCAGACTCCCAGAAATCATGTTGGTAGGATCCCAGTCCTTTTCCCCTGGAGGGCCCAATGGGATCATTAGAAGCCAGTCCTTCGCGGGGTTCAGCGGCCTACAGGAGAGGCGATCCAGGCAAGTAGTGTACCCCGCTCTCTCCTGGGCTTCTCTGAGGAAGGCCTGTGTGCATGTGGCCTTGTCAATACGTGCATGCATGCACCATGTGTGTGCACGCCAGCACACACACACACACACACACACACACACAGCATTTTAATGTACTAAAAATTAAGTGTTTTCCTTTCTTTTCAATGATTTAGCTTTTCTCCTGCAGAGAAGGTGGCTGAATCAGCTGGTAATGAGAGTCAGGCTGCCACTGCCCAGGGAGGGAGCAGTAGATATAAACTTGGAAAAGTTAGTCTTTTGTTTTCCCTGCAATGCTCCTCATCTAAATTAAAATAGGAGTCAGGGGAACCCAAGACAGAAAGCACAGGTAGTGAAATAGGTAACAGAGAATGAAGTTGGTCTTGGGCTAGGATCCTCTGCTCAGAGAGCCCTATGTGTCCTGTGACCAGCACAGTCCCCACAGGGTGCTGGCAAGAGAAAGTAACTCACCTGGGAGGCACCCAACAGGCACCTGCCAGACTTCCAGCTCACAGCTTACTGTTGGCAGTGGGCCATTGGGTGGTCTGGGCTCTTGACTTCCAGCCACCTCTGGAGCCTGCCTCCCTGCACACATAGAGATTCTGAAATTTATGTTACACCTAAACACATTGTTCCACAGACATCTTTGAAAACCAAACTGTCTACCTGCCTGTGTGTCTCCTGAATACTGTTAGAAATTACCCATCTGTCTGACTGGATTAAAAAGATGTGGTACATATATGCAATGGAATATTACTCAGCAACCAAAAAAAGAAACACATGTCTTTTGCAACAACTTGGATGGAGCTGGAAAAGATCATGCTTAGTGAGATAAGCCAGAAAGAGAAAGAAAAATATTGGATGGTTTCGCTCATAGCAGGAGTATAATGGACCAGGCGAGAAAATAATAAGAACAGTCAGATACCAGAGACATTTTGTGGGGGTGGAGTGGGGAATGGGATCAAAGGGGGGGAGGGGGAAGGAAGTGCACAGGACTATGGTGATGGCACATTGGTGATCAGTGACTTGTGATGGGAAACCCACAGGGATTACAATTGAGATGAAAAAAAAAATGTACAAAATGATGTAAAATAAACTAAGAAATTACCCAACTGTCATGCTATGACCCTTCATCACAAATACTCACTTATGTCCTGGTCAAATGTAATGGATGCCTAAACCTGATGCGGGCTGTGCCCACATATACTTTGAATTGGATTATAGTCTTCTCCTTGTTCATTATCTCCACATGGAAGCTGTGTCCTCAGCTTCCGATGAGGGCTTAGTGGTGTGATACAAGTTCACGTTACCACAAGCCAGGCTTTGGGGCTGGTTAGCCATTGCTTGGCAAAGCTTCCAGATGTGAACTGTTCACAAGTCTAATGCCAGGAAACAAAATGTATTAGTAGCTCAGATTGGCAAGAAATAGTTGCCTTCCCCCAAAGACAGTAATACAAAGACAAGGCAATTGAAAGGCATTTCTTGGATCAAATCCTTTTAGATACTGGAGGCTCAAAATTTTTTTTTTCATTAATTTCTATAGATGTAACTCCTTCATTGAAAATTCCTCTGCTCTCAAGAAGCCCCAAACCAAACTGAAGAAAATGCACAATTTAGGACACAAGAACAACAACCTTCCCAAAGAACCTCAACCTCAAAGGGTGGAAGAGGTCTACCGGGCTTTGAAGAATGGACTTGAGTAAGAACCTTGAACTTCATAACGCTGAATCTTATTCTTTTTTAAAATGCTCAGTGGGCATCACAGAGAGCTAGCCTTATGAGATGATTTTGAAATGATCTAAAATATTTCCACTGTAGGTATTTTCTGCTTGCACCATAATTGAGGAAGCTGTAAATGAGGCCCAAAGGTGTGAATTACGTTGCATTTCTACATAATATCATAACCTTGAAAGAGACCAGAGCTAGTGCTGTATTTATAAGTAACTCAGTCGACTGTTGGATTTCACTTAAACGAGGTTGATAGGCCTGTCCATTTTAGAGATTACTGAACAGGGGTTCTAAAATCTTCCTGAGTATGTGATAGGGATTGTTTGCTCAGAATAAAGCTTCCCTGGCATGTCTTGAATCATAGGCAGCTGGCATTGTCTTGGGCTAGAGATAAATCTGTGAGACCGGATCCAGGACTGATTTGATCCCTGTCTGCCTCTGCTTTGTACATGCTTTTGCTTTTCTGGACTCAGTCCCACAGAGGTTCTCCTTTTTGACCATCTGGATAGAGCTTTTAAAATGTCAAGAGAATGGGACAAGACAGAGCTTCTCCCTCGACACTGCCTTTGCAAGGGTCAGATTCTTTTTTTGAAAAGATTTATTTATTTATGCATACAGAACTGGGTACAGTCCAGAGGTGCAGGGGCAGTAGAGGATTCACCAGAGACAGAGTGGAGCAGAACAAGAAGACCATAAAGTACACTGGGAACGAAAGCAGTAAGTCCGTCAGAAGAGTTCTTCATCTCCTGTGGATCACTGCAACTAGCTTGCAGTGCTGTGTCCCAACACAGCAGATTAAGGGTCAGATTCTTAATCCCCCATCTGAAGGAATAGTCAGCAGCAACACCGGATTCCACTGGACAGTTCATGATGGTCTCATCTCATCTTTGCAGTGAATACCTGGAAGTTCACCAAACAGAGTTGGACAAGTTGACCGCACAGTTAAAGGATATGAAAAGAAACTCTCGCCTGGTAAGTACTGTCCTGTCTTTAGGATGTTAACAGATATTTTTCTTTGCCCATGTATCATCTTTTACGGGATGGGGCCAGGGAAGAACCTTTAAGAAAAGCAGACTAAAGGGGAAAAGACTGCTTTCTGGTGTGTATTTAAAAGGAGGTATGTTCATCCTCAATGTGTATTCATGCTTTTCCATATTTTCCAAGAAGTTTATGCAGATAAACCAGGAAAAAAGTACTTAAGAAACGACCTAGACCTCTTCCCCTTCCCCTTGTATAGTGTTGTCCTTTTCACAGGTTTAAAGGTTAAAGGCTTTGTAGAAGTTACACAGTATATTACTGTATTCTAATGATATCAGGGTATAAATTGCTCCCTTTTCTCTGGAACTTCTTGTGGAATGACCTTGATTATCTTCAGTGCAACAAATACTCCTCTGAGTAGCAGTGGCAAGTGGGAGGAGCGCCCCCCAAGACCTAAAGGAGGGTCCGGGATGGGAGAATATGCTGGTTTTACTGTGATATTTTGAGCACATAGCAAATGAACTTGCTTTCCAAACAGTTTATGGGGAGCATATTACCACCCCCAATGACTCTTTTTAAATACCAATTTTACATGTTTAAACAGGAAAGCAAATCTTTTTTTTTCTTAAATACATATCTCATTGCTACATTTTATGTTAAAGATATTTCTTAAATTAAAAGGTGAACATGAATTTACATGTCCCCAGTAGGTAAAAACCCTCCAAGCAAGTGAGAACCTTAAATCTCCCAACAGGCAGAGGGCTGGGTAGAATTCGGGACACATAGTAAAGATAAATTCTGGCTCTTAGACATATTCTTACTGGTACTTAAAATAACCCTGATTTTTTAATTTTATAAAAGCAAATGTCAAGAAATCAATGCAGATATGCAGGCTAAACCTCATGAATATCAGCAACACGTTTGAGGAAAATGTGTTTTAACCCAGATACTCCTTTTTTTTTTTACTTTAGGGTGTCCTGTATGAGCTAGACAAGGTAAGTTACTGTTCTCTATTGGGCTGTTGCTAAAAATAAAACCCACATCCTTGAAAGGCAGTCAATGATTTCCTTCTAGGTGTAGTAAGGAAACAGAATTTTCTAATCCTAGAAAAATTCATCTTCTTGTTTAAATGAGGATGAGGACTAAGGACCATGAGCTGTAGACCCAAGAATGCCTTCAGGTTTTTTCCACTCTCGGTGCACTGATGTGTGTCAGAGTTTCCCCAGTATTTGGAGGCCCTTACTGTGTCCTAAGTACTGACTTCCATATTTCATCATGCCAAGGACACCTGTGATTAGAAGCACACCCCTAATGATTTTGTGGGCCCCCAGGGGTGGGGTGGGTGGGGAATGATTCCAGCCAAATTCTCGTTTGTTTTTTTTCCCACTTAAAATTTTTTATAAGTGTTGTAATTTTTTATATATGTGTTCAGCCACACTCTTTATATGCCTTTCTGTACCTTCAGTAACTTTCACGCTGAATCATAGCATGCTCTTTTTGAAGACATTTTAAAGGCTAATTAAATTGAATGTATGTAATAACAATATTTATAATTGAAGTGAAGAAATGGCCCATGAGCTATGATTATTTTTGCACAGTCAATAGCAATGTAAGCTGCATCTCAATTTCAGATACGTGTGTGGGTTTGACGTGAGAGCTGATAAGATAATGTTATGAAGGAATAGAAGTATAGTCTAATAGAATACTATTCTAGAGTGATTGGAGAATTCCATTTAATGGGTCTTACTTGATGTCATATACAAGCACTTCATTCACTCAGGTTCTTCGCTCAGACATTAAAATAAATAAACTGTCCATGTTGATACTGGAGAATGTCTAAAGATTCTAAAGATGGGGGAGGAGGGAGTGAGCATGCTCCGGTACTGCTGATAAGGAGATAATAAAGTGGACAGCCTCAGAAGCCTAGGTCAGTAAAGCTATAAATGGCTGTACTTGTTTACAAACTTCTTCTTTTAATTCCAGCAAATTAAAACGATTGAAAGATACATGAGACGCCTGGAGTTTCACATTAGTAAGGTAATTGAAGTTCCTGTTGGGTTTTGCCTGTTTTCCGCCTCTTGGTTGCTGATCATTGCCACTTGGCCTCACAGAACATCTAGTCCATAGAGAATTTCTTCTCTGTTTGACTTGTGAGCAGATTAGCAATTAAGTCCTTCAGCCAGCAGTAAAGATAGAGAAAATCTGAGAATGGAGAACCCAGTAATGGGCTCGGTTCTGCACAGTGATGACTAGACTTCAGTTCACAAATTGTAAGAGGTCTTCCCGTGTTTACACACAGTGCCTTGTTGGAAAGTTTACAGTTACAGGCAAGATTTGGTGGGGGCCACACTGATCCCACCAAAAACATCATACTTGCCTGCCTTTGCACTAAGGTCCCACATACAACTCTGTACCCCACCAACTTCTTCCTGAAGGTCTTGAAAGTCCTGGAAGGCAGCTGTCATTCCTCCCTGTCTTTCTCAAGCACTAACTTGCTTTCCCACATGGTAGTTTCCAGGGTATTGTTTGCCTTCCTGGGCTCCCTGGTCATACACCAACTTGTCAGACTCTCAGACATCCAGCCCCAAACCTTACAAAAAGCTCACTGATGCTCCAGCCAGCCCAATTTGCATTGGGACTACTATTCCCTTATTCTGAATACTCTAGAAAATTTTCCCTTTGGGAGCTGCTAGATCACCCCAGAAGTAATTCCCTTTTCCATCTGTACATATTCACCTCTGTAAATGGAGAGGTTGGGCGTTTTAGCAGATCCCTTTACTAGAACCCCTACAAAAGCAGGGGTTCTAGTTGAGCTTTGCATGTACTCCTGGGCTATCTTGGCTACCTGGCCTTGACTTTCCACTCTGTGAAATGGGGCTAGGGAAGTATTGTGTTTTATCCAGATGATTCTGGAGAAGCCTTTCGTTTTAGAACTATGATGATGATATATGTCTGCTACTCCCTTCGTACATTCTCACTTTGGAAGATATTTATGACCCTTAGACAAAACTAAAACTGTTCCTGTTTGTGCTAAACTCAATCAGTAAATCCATGGCCTTCCACTTGGAGGTCATTTAATGTGGCAGGCAAACTTTGACAAACGGCTCCATCTGAAAAACACCAAGAAAGCAAGATCAGTGTTAGACTGTAATCTATCTGTTCATCTGATCGCTTTCGTTGTCAGCTACAACAGTTTGAATAATCGTTAAAGATTGGAGGTGCTCTTTGTGGTGCTTAGATGTTAAGATGCCTAACAATTATCTGTGGCTGAACGAGTCAGTCCACTTATTTGAGGGCCACTGCTGACGTGTAAAGAGAAAGACTGCCTGAAAGTGCCTTTCTGCTCTGCTAAGGGTATGTTGCCCTTTATCCTAAAGTTAACTCTATCTACCTAGGGTAGGTTGACACTGAAGTGAAAACAAAGAATAAGTTCATCTTTCAATGCAAAGTTCATCTTTCAATGCAAAAACCAGGTTGCTTGGACAACACCACTGGCCCAGGGAGCAGCCTCCGAATGGAGAGGGTCACAATCCCAGGCTTCAGTGCACCCAGCTGAGGGGAAAGGGTTGAAGGGGAAAGATCCTGGCTTGCATTGAAAGAGCTCTCAGTGCTTGAATTTTGAAAAGTTATGTGTGACCTTCCACACCCAAACAATTCCCAAGGCTTATTTAAAATTTCAGACTTCTGGTCCACCCTATTGATCCAGTATCTCGGAGTGGGGCCCAGGTGTCAGCATTTTAACAAGCTCATTGGGTGAGTCTTAGTTAGTTTTAAAATATGGGGACCAGGCCTCCCCGGTGGCGCAGTAAGTTAGGATGCAGCCCTGCAAGTGAGCCGCAGCTGCTTCAGTGCGAGTTCGATCCCTTGGCCCCAGAGGTGACCCACATGGCCTGGCAGACCTCTCCTGACCCGCCCGCTGCTCCCCTCCTTGATCTGCCTGTTCTGCTCCCCACTCTGTCTCCGGTGAACCCTCACTGCCCCTGCACCCCTAGCTTGTACCCCAGTTCTTATGCATAAATAAATAAATCTTTTTTAAAATAAATAAATAAATGAAATATGGGGACCATCCTCTACGAAAATCACCAAACCCAAGATTTTATCAGCAGACATGCCCCTCCTTCTCTTATCCCCTCATCATCAGAGACAAAAACCATTGACCGCAAAGGCTGTATTTCCAGAACTTGGTAACTCCTCTTGCGAATTGTTAGGGTAAAAAACAACAAAGAATCCTTTAACCTAGAGAATAATTTTCAGTCTCTTTATGTTCATCTTCCAACCTCAGTATAATTGTCAGCATAGAGAAAGCAACATAATAATAGAAAATTATATCAATCTATCATGGAGGAATGCTTTTTTAGTGAGCAGCCAAAATTTTCCCTTCAGAAAAAGAAGGGAATCTTTTTTTTTTTTAAAGATTTATTTATTTATGCATACAGAACTGGGGTACAGGTCAGAGATGCAGAGGGTGAGGGGATTCACCAGAGACAGAGTGGGGAGCAGAACAGGCAGATCGATGAAGTACATTGCTGAGGGAAGCAGCGGGCAGGTCAGGAGAGGTCTGCCACACCTTGTGGTCACGTCCGGGGCAGGCGGGAAGGGGCAGGCGGGAATCGAACTTATGCGGAAGTGGCTTCAGCTTCTCAGTGCTGTGCTTTAACCCGCTGCGCCACCAGGGAGGGCCAAAGAGGGAATCTTAAACTTTGAAATCCATTATGTTCATCTCCACCTTCTAGATCTACAGTGTAAGCTACGGTAACATCTCTTTGCAGAGATGTTTGGATATTTTTTGAGTTTATACTGAAATGAAAATTTCAGGTAGTCCTTGGTTGATTCCTGCCTCCCAGAAGTAATAGGTTTCATTAACTTGTGCTAATGCCTGGTAAAGACTGGTCTTTTTATGTCTGCAAGCTCCCATAGTAAGCTGTGATCCACATGTTGATAACTAGAACAAGTACAAGACTATAGAAATCATTGTCATCAGGAATAATTGGTTTGCTCAACCTAGACACTGTTGATATTTTGCAACAATTCTTTGTGGTAGTGGCTATCCTGCGATGATAGAGCTGTTTAGCAGCACCCCTGGCCCATGTCTGTAAGCTGTGGGTAGCATCTCCCAGCTGTCACGCTGAAAATGTCAAATATCCCCCAGGTGTCATAATGGCCCTGGGTGGATGGAGAAGCATGCATGAAGAGATTAACAGGTTTCTATACTGAGGGTGATCAATAGTCTTTTGCAAAGGTGTATGATCCTTTGATAGCATTAAAGATAAAGGTTCATTTTTATTTCTTCTATTTTTAAAATTACAATATAACTTATATACACAAGAAGTCACAGTTCTTAGTATTCTCTACTTAATTGCATTCAGTAGGTTTTGCTAATTTGTGCTTCCCTCTTTGAGAATGAAGTTAATCAGTTCTTTTTCTCTCTTTATTATTGTTGAAGCTATTTACTGGAAAAGATCTTTGTAAAGTCAGCTCCAATTAAAAAACAAAAAGGCTAAATCAGGATGTGTGAATATCACCTTGTGACACTTACCTCTTAAAATAAATCGATCATAGCTTAGTATACCACGAAGTGTTCACCTTGGTATGTGAAGCTGAATAGAGTTTTCTGGTGTCAATTCTACATATGAAAGACCCCTATCTCTGCTCTCCAATACTTGACTAGCACTGCTCACCAGGGTTCACTTTCATGATGTGACATATTTGTGGAGAGCTCAGAGAAAAGTCTATATCAAAAAAGAAAATAGATCATAAGGTCAAAACAAAGATTGGTCTCTATCTAAAAGGATGAGTCATCTCTAAGAATCTCCTCGTTGAGATCGGAATCATGAAGTATGGTAAGCACTTTTAGTGGCCTGTGTATCTTCTTTCAAGTGTGATAACTATTTCTGTCTCTTGTGTTCCCTGCTCTGACTCTGGCAGGTGGATGAACTCTATGAGGCTTATTGTATCCAAAGACGCCTCCAAGATGGTGCCAGCAAAATGAAACAAGCCTTTGCAACATCGCCGGCTAGCAAAGCTGCCCGAGAGAGCCTGTCAGAGATCAGCCGGAGCTACAAAGAATACACAGAGGTATGTGCCAACCTGTTCAGCCTCTCCGCTCCACCTGGGTCTCATCGGAGGTGTGGGTACCTTCCAAGAAGCAGGGAAGCCTCATTCTGCTCTTTACAGACATGTTTTGCTATTTGCCTGCCTGCATTTTGGGGGCGGGGAATTGTTTAAAATGATGCTTGGGTAGCTTTGTGGAATCTGTTCATTTAATCTTCGTTAGACTCCAGTACATGCACCTTTCTCAGTCTAAACCAGTTCAAACCAAGGGTTTGGACGCTGCAAAGTCATGCCCAGGCCGAGTCTTTATGTTTTCTGTGCTGTCTTGTACCGTCTCTGCACAGGTAGACTACAGATTCTTGTCAAAATTGCGGTGAATGAATAAGTCACCATGCGATGGTTTTTGAAATTCAGGTTGTCCAGCATCAAGTCAAATCCAGCTTTTAATCCTGGATGTTGGCATCGCAGTTGAGATGGCACCCTGAATGCAGGGTGTCCCTCACCCTCCTGCCTACAATTACTTTAAGAAATGTTCCTGCGACCTCAAGAGGCAAAATAAAGAATCATGAACACAAATGAGCTTTCCTGTCTCTGGGGCTTAAGCCCATGACCCCAGGGGGAGGTCTTTGCTTCTCCCAGAGCCACCTGATAGCAGTGCCTTTGATAAAATGACTGAATTATTAAAGCAGTTTGCCTCACTATCCCATGTGTCTTTGTTCAGAGATCCAATTTCATGAATGAAGTCATCGGCCTGATGAAGGTCTATTGGACAATACCCAGAGCTGAGCGGCTGTCCAGTCCTAGGCGGGGCAGGCCTTCTTGGGTGGCTAGGGTCATTTGTGTGTCCTCTGGCGGTACTTCTTCTCTGAACCAATTTTGTCTCTTTTGTGACCTCAAAGAAGGCTTCTTCCTAAGCTCCCCTTTCATGAATGCATAAAATAAAATGCACAGGCTTTTGAAGGAAACAAATGTTATTGAAATGGTCACTTCCATTTATTGGGCAGTTACCAAAGTATTTTAAAAATACGTCATGTAGTCCTATGGTTGACTGCTGCCTCGTGAACACATCCAATTCGATTCTTAGAACTAACACTGGCCCTCATGTGGAATTGAGATTTCTAAGTAGGAACAATTATGATTTGTCAAGGGATCTGCATGAATGATGTGACATGGACATATATGTACTACTATTGGTGTCAAAGTCGCAGATGCTGGTATTACTGCTGTGACTTGATTTCTACATTCATGATCTGTGGACATGTTCAATTTCATGGAAAAGTAACTTAGGGGTTCATGGAAAAGCAATGTGTCTCCTTTTTTTCTCCTTCCAAGTTTATGGACCCTAGTTCAGGAGAACTCGGCTCTCCTGAAATATATGTACATGTTTCTGAAATAAGGGAAACAGTTACTAGTGGGCTGTTCATGGCCAAGGAGTAGAGTCCTCACTGGCTGGCTGCCGTGACCTTTCATGGGTCATTTCAGAATTAGCCACCCTTGGTCAAGTGCCAAGACATGCATCTGATGTTGCTCACAAGCTCAAAAATGTAGAGTGTGGTTTCAGCAAGAGAAAGGGCTGCCTGGGAGGAGATGACCAGGACTTTGGTAGCTTCTTGGCTCACTTGACACAGAGTGTGTTTGTATCTCCACAGACCCACATAGTCAGGATTTATCATGAAGGGCATGTAGGACAGAATGGCACTGCACACTTTTGCAACTGTGGTTCTCATCAGCAGCTATGTGGGTGAAAGAGGAAACCCTGGGCCTGGATATCCTCACCTGTTAAGCTAACTGGCCCCCTGAGTTGTTTAAACATACTGATAGCAATTCTCACTTGTGTGATAATATCCTTGATATTTCTGGAAATGTTTCCTCACTGAGACCCAGACTTTGAGCAAGAATATTGATTTAAAATACTGAAATTTTGCTTTCAAAGCATTCAAGCTGCATCAAGCTCAGCCTTCTAGGAGTTTCCCCCAGCTTTGCTAAAACTCTCTGAGCTACTAAGAATTGCCACAGGAGAGGCAATGCCATTTTTTTTAGCATCTCTTCAATGCACTGAATTCAGGAGCATCACTTTCAGAGCAGCATAAAGGGATAAATAAGAATCAGGTCTTGTGCCCTCCCTGGTGGTACAGCAAGTTAAAGCACAGCACTAAGAAGTTAAAGCCACTTCAGCATGAGTTCAATCCTCACCCGGAGGTGATCCACATGGTGTGGCAGACCTCTCCTGACCCGCCTGCTGCTCCCCTCAGCAGTGTACTTCATCAGTCATCTTGTCCTGCTCCCCACTCTGTCTCTGGTGAATCCTCTCACCACCCCTGCACCTCTGGCCTGTACCCCAGTTCTGTATGCAAAAATAAATCTTTAAAAAAAAAAAATCAGGAGCTCTTAGGTATCAATCTTGAAGCCCTCAGTAAACAAAATTCAAATGGAGCAATCCCTGTGGGCAATCAGTGAGCACCATGCTTGTTAGGAATGGCCACCCAAAGCCTTGGTCTTTGATGGAGGCTGATGGTGAGGGAGACCCTGCAGATGACCCCTCCAGACAGGGTTCGGGACTGCTGCTAAGAATAAGCAGAGCCGGAAGCGAAAGCTTAGGCTGGTCCTGCTGCAGAAGGGCTCCAGTTGATGCAGCCCCTCACCCCAGCACTTTCCTTTTTGATTTCCAACCTAGGCCTCGGGGTGAAGCTACTTCTGCCACTGCTGAGGAAGGGATTCCTGTCAGGCCCAGGAATCACTTTGTGGGTGTCGTGGCATTACAGCAGGAACTGGACCTCACTCACTGAATCAAATTGAGCTCCTTCTGCTATTCTGGGGCTCAAATTTTATTGAAGAAAAAATTCAGATCCATGCAAAAGTCAGGATGAATGCAACAAATGCCATAAATCCTGCCTAGACCTACCAGTTGGTAACTTTTTGCCATGTTTGCTTACTTTATCTTGCACACGCTCGATTTTCTTTCTTTTTCTTTTTTAATTGGGTCATTTGACAGTAAATGGAAGACACCATGATATAACACTTCATAAATATTGCAGCATGGAGCCCTAATGGTCACCTACCTACATGTATATTCCCTGCAGAATCACGCACCATCATTACAGACTAAGAAAGGAAGCAATCCTTTTCTGTAAAATCATCAAAAAGCCCATGTACTTTTCAAATTTCCCCTATTGAGCCAAAGATGTCTTTACTAACTATTGTAGTTCATTTACTTTCAGGTCAAAGATGTAATGAAAGTAGTTATAATACTGCTTTTGGTTATTATGTCGCTTTAGTCTTTTTCTATCTAGAGTTTTCTTGCCAGAATATTGCCTTTTTATAGAATCCAGCTTGGTTCATATGGAATATCCCTGAATTTGACTGTTTATGATATAATTGAAGAAAATACTCAATTATATTCTTCAAATATTCTTATTCTTTTGTGAATCTCTTGTGCATGGAGGGCTTGCTTAGTTGTGAGACATTTGGCCAAGAACACTTCATTGGGCCCTCCCTGGTGGCAAGTGCAGTATTAGCCATTACACCTGGTTCAACCCTGACCAGGGAGCTGGCCCACATGGCGCTGCAGACCTCTCCTGTCCCGCCTGCTGCTCCCCTCAGCAGTGTATTTCAGTCGATCTGCCTGTTCTGTTCCCCACTCTGTCTCTGGTGACTCCTCTCACTCCTGCACCTCTGGCCTGTACCCCAGTTCTTGTATGCATACATAAATCTTTAAAAAAAGAAAAAAAGAACATCTCATTGCCAGTTCTGGGTTGCTCACTGCAATAAGGTCAAGGCCACCGCTCTTCAAATGCCAAGCACTCATGCGACCGGCCTCTAACGCCAGTTCTCTGTACTTTCCACAGAACATGTGCACCATTGAAGCTGAGCTGGAGAATCTGCTCGGGGAGTTCTCCATCAAGATGAAAGGTACTCTTTTCCCTGTTCAGGAGAGTAAGACATCAGCTCTACAGGGCTCCTTGGAGTTTGCATGCACATGCTAATTTTATTTTCTCTGCAAAGACACCCCCAACCCTCTCCACTTATGTGACTTTATTGACACCTCAGAAGCGTCTCATCCTGAGGTCTGTATATGCACTTAAGTATTTATTACGATGGAATCTGAAACATACACAAATGGGAAAAGAATACTACAGAGATCTCTTCCCCAACATGTCACAGTTAGCAAGATTTTGCCTCATTTGTTTCATCTGTTCGCTTACATGAACCCCAGCCCAGAGATGTAGCTCTACCCCCACAGACATCGAAGCACCTCTCGAGGGCAGGGATGTCCTCATATGTGACCACTGTGTCAAGCGTGATGACCCCCCAGTCAAGAGACCAGGTGTTTGCTGTGAATCGATCCCACGATCAGATTTCCCGAGTTGTCTCCAGTGTGCTTTGGACAGTTGGCTTGTTCGCATCAGGATCTAAACACGGTGCAAATGTTATAATTGGTGTTCAGATGTCTCTCTGAGCTTTCCTTTCATCTACATCAAACCTTTCCACTCTTTCCCCCTTGGTGGGCTCATCACAGAAACCACAGTGGCACAGGATGTCCCCTGCTCTGCCTGTTTGCTCTGTTGCTTCTGCCTGGTGTCTTTAAATTGTTTCTTGATGCTCTAGGTTGCTTCTAAACTACTACCAAGTTTTCAGTTTTATTTTGTGTTGCTGTTTTAACTCCCAGAGGACTATGCATTTTCCTTTTTATCTACCCCCAATTCCTTTCTGGTATACACTCCAGAAAGCTCTCATCTAGAAGTAGTATAGACTGCATGGCATTTCAGAACAAAAAGAAACTGGCTGGAGACAGTAGTGCATCACCTAGGTGCTGTGGGCTTTCCAGCTCAGCTGGCTGTCAGATCAGCAAACCCATTTTTCTTTGGTGTTTTGGCCCTTTAACCTGTGACAGAGAAGGTTGTGGCTCACACATTCTCTCTCTGAGGTTTCTTAGCAGTCTGATCCCTGGGTTGCTAATGGGGATTTAATCACCCTCTTGTATGCTGTTTGCAATTAAGAGAGAAGAGGGGACTTTTTTTAAGGGCTCACCAGGAGAGCTTCATTTCAAATGAGTCATCTAACTCAGGGGGAATTTTTCTGTCAAGTTCTTTGCTTGACATGTGAGAGCAGCTCCGAATACCTGGAATAAGAATAACGTTGGCTCTTGGCTTCCACATTGACTGCATTCTTAGGTAAAGCAGTCCTGAGAGTTAACCCGTTTGTTTTTTCGTGTGCAGTCTCCCTGAGGGTGGGTCACTGTGCTTTCCTGTGTTAAGATCCATTCTCTTTTCCATTTTGGATCCTCCTTAGTCACTAATTCCAAAATCACTGTTCCCTGCCCCCTTTCTAACTCATCCGTATCCAGGGTCCTAAAGTGAGAGGTAATATTTAAATCCTTAGGATGGTTCTCATAGCAGGCTGATTCTGGAAAACTACCCTGAATCAGCACCTAGCCAAAATCACTTTCCTCTCCTTCCCTCACACTAGATATCACCCGAGCAGACACAGTTAAATAGTGTGGACTTCCCTTATTTTTGATGCTCGCTGTTATCAAATGCGTCAGGCTTTGCTGGGGCCATCATTTCCCTATATTTTAGATGGGAAATGACAGGTAAATGACTTGTGCCAGAAATCATACAATAAATTGGGCTCAAACTTGAAACTAAATTCCAGGGCCTTTGCTTTTAGTACATTCAGCCAACCCCTAGACCTGTGAGGAGGGGTGTTTTAACAGAGCTCAACCATTGCTCACAGAATGCTCTCTTTTAAGGGAGAATCTTCTTCAGTCGTCCACACAGGCACATAGGTGTGGGTGGCAGGAAAGGGGTCCCTGATCCCCACTCCGCCCCAGAACTATAGCTTCAGGCCTGAGAGCTTGGTGGGAGTGGGGCGAACCTTGGCAGCCCAGCTAAACAGCAGCCCTGGGTTATCACAGAACTTTCGGTTGGCCTGCTTTTCTTCTCCAGCTCTCTGTGATATTTCCTTCCTGCCTTTAGCTTCTCTCTGGACTCGAGCTTTTTCCCATTGGATCTCTAGGTCTGAAACGGATCCTTTTTTTATTTTTTCCAGTGTAGATTTATCTCATTTCCGCTTCCCTAATTTAACACAAAAGCTCCAGCCACATCTATGAAGCCTTTCAAAGATAGCACGTCTCTGGATGAAAGGAAGTCCCCATATGGTGCAAAGAAAGTTTTGTAATTTCTAATCTATAGTTCATGATGGTAAAAATAATCACCCCCAACATAAATATTGACTGAAACTGAGACTATTTCAGAATCTTCTCAGACCTGGTAACCCAGCTTCCTCCTGCCAAGTCACATCCTTCCACATTTCCGTTTTTCTTCTGCCCCCAACACACACAACCCCCCAGGGTGGGGGTGGGAGAATGATGAAGACGCTTCTGTTGACCCAGAACTGGGCACATCCTGAGAAAAGGGATGAGTGAACCCATTGCATTCCAGTTCCCTGGGATGAATAATCTACTGCACCAATACAGCAAATTGCTGCAAAAGAGGGGGACCGGGCAGAAGGTTGCCATTCCCCTACCTGGGGGGAAGGGAGCAGTGAAGAGGAAGTCTCCCTAATGTAACCTTTGAATCGGAGACTATTGTGGTCAGGTGCACAGCAGTGGAAGAGATACTGAGCATTGACAGGCGGGGGAGACTGCAGTGCTTGGGGGAGAGAGGGTCGCTGGAGTTGGTGCCAGATTTTGAAGAGGCTTACCAGCAGGTTAAGGAGGGGAGTATCTACCAGAAATGAGATTGGTGGTCTCAAGAAAAAAAAAAATGGCTTTCCCCCCAATTTTTACTCAGTTCTAATTAAGTTCCAGGCAAAATGGATCTCCAGAAGTTGGTTCTGGCTCCTGGAGCTTATAGAACAGAAGAAAGAGCTGTCAGTGTGGGAAACCTGTATTATTTATGCCTGGCCAATAAAACCACGTAGACTTGTGAGCTGAGCCCCTGGCGTGGCTGTTAGCCCTGGAGGACAAGTGTGACTCTCGGAAAGTGAAGACCATCAGAGAACTGGGAAAAGTGAGGAGCGTCCTCCTGACAGAGTGTCCCTGACCAGATAGGGGTGGCTGGCTGCATCTGGCTGCCACACGAAGCTGTGGAAGAGCTGGCTTCTCAGTAATAAATTATGAAACACCCAAAAGGTCAGGGAAGGTGGAAAATACTAAAAAATTAAAATCCCTGCCCCCTCCTCATGCCCATTATTGGATGCCCAAACCCACAGTAGCTGAGTGGCCATAATGACAGCTTTCTACACAGCCTAACAATAATCACAAAACTGCTGAGAAAATATTAAGCTTTTCCCTAACGGTGAAAATCCTGCCGGCCTCGGGCCAGTCTCCAAGACTGGGCAGGTTCAGAAGGCATGAGGCTGCCAGGTAACTGCCTGCTGCTCATTTCAGGCCAGTGCCAGTACCACCGGGGGTGGCTTAAACAAGAGCGTTTATAAGCAAAGCCCCAGACCAGGTTTTGTCTCTTTGTAACAGGGAGGTCCCCAGGAAAAGGGGAGGTTCCTGGTTCGCTTCCCCACCCAAGGAAGGGTGAGACTGAGCTGGGAGGAGAGAAACTGGAGAGGAGACTGGGAAAGGAAGAAGGGAGGAGAGCCAGGAGACCTGGAGGAGACACATGGAGTAGTGAGAAGTTGTGCTAGGGTGGTCTTCAGGACAAGGGGAGCGGTAGGGAACCTGAACTTTCCCTTTTCCTGGAGACTGTCCAGCTACATGTTGTCTTCTGCTACATTATTATAGCAGACTACCAGCACTTCCCAAAATATCATTTTAACAATGGTGGTTTAAGGACATCATTACTCCCACCCCCACCCCTCTGGCCTGTACCCCAGTTCTGTATGTATCAGTAAATCTTTAGGAAGGAAAAGAAAAATCAACATCAAAGCCCCTTCCTCCCAATATGATAAATTCTTCAGATACACAGATTGCTGATCATTCTGAAACCTTCAAACTGTGGCCAGTTTCCCAGAGCCAGAGCCAGCGCAGCTTACTCTGGTAAGTAGACTTCCACTGGACCTGCACCAGGGAATAGGCATTGGGTGACTCCTGAAGCTGATTTGCAGAGGCTTTTCAGGAACATGTTGAATTTTTTTTTTAAAGATTTATTTGTTTATGCATACAGAACTGGGGTACAGGCCAGAGGTGTGGATGAGAGGATTCACCAGAGACAGAGTGGGGAGCAGAACAAGCAGATCGGCACAGTACACTGCTGAGGGGAGCAGCGGGCAGGTCAAGAGAGGTCTGAAGCACCATGTAGGTCACCTCAGGGCAGGCGGGGATCGAACTCATGCTGAAGTGGCTTTAGCTTTTCAGTGCTGTGCTTTAACCCACCAGGGAGGGCCAAAACATGTTGAATTTTAATTGGAAGGGCCATGTTCTAATTTCAAAAATCCTGTTAATGGTGCTTTATGTCAGAAATGTATTTTTTAAAAAACTAAGTCCTCCCAGGCCTTATTAGTGAAAGTTGATTTAATATTGTTCCTATTTCATGAAACCTTTTAAGTGGCCTTTTCTAATGGGTAGTGAAAACTGGTCCTAAATGGTCCGGGGCCTGGGGAGGCATGTCGAGCTAGTGAGTTGCTGCCATCTATTGACAGGTAGTGGTAACAGCAGGTGCTTTTCAAAGCCTCCCTGGACCTGCTTCATCTCAATCCCCATAACGTCTGAGACCAGGGAGAGCAATCTTGTCCCATGGTCTCACAGCTTTGACACCACCCCCCATCACTATGACATGGATAAAATCAGATTTAAATTAATATAAAACACAGAACTCAGAAGTCACAAGCAGCTGAAGGAAGCTGGCAGCCAAGTGGTCTGGGCGTCTCTGTACTTGAAGGAATGGAGGAACTACAAGACTTTTTTTTTTTAAACCAGTTCATCAAAATCGCCTCTCAGGCCACCTACATGAAAAGAGCAAGATGGTTTTTGTCTTCTCAAATCTGTTTTAAAATTTTGTAGGTGGTACATCTCCTTTTTAAAAAATATGGGGAAATATGCCAAAAACTTTATTTTGCTCCATCCAGTGCTAAACTCTTAAAATTGCGATGTACAGCTAACTTCTCTGTATATGCCACCCACGAACACATGTGATTTTTTTAATAACTTTTTTTCTTAAAAAATAGGTGTTATTTGAAAAAACCAAGTAAAAATTACATTTAACTTTCTCTATAATCCCACCATGGCAGAGAGAATTACTTCTGTTTAGAAAGTTTATTTAGACTTTATTTCCTACATTTTTATATAGTGGGGTTTATATGCTCCAAGTTTTGTACCTGTTCTTGTTAAATAAAATATTAGATCATAGATATCACCTTTCAGCCAAAGTTCACTCAATATTTGTACCGAATTCTTGGCTGGGATTTTTTTTATCATAAAATTTTACTGGTTCCTTTCCCCAGAAAATGCAAGCATGCTAAAGTTTTTTGTCCGGTTTTGTGAAATTTGTTTACTTTCTGGATTAAAACTGTGTTTTCCGGTCCCTATTAGGATAAGGGCTATGTTTTGTGACTACATGGAAACAAAGTTTAAAACCAAAGTGACTGATTAAAGGAAAGCTGACATGTCTTTATTGATGAGCTTATTCCCTGTATTTTTTCTTTGGGCCCATGAGTCTCACGCCTTCCCACAGCTTCATTCCTGCTTGGCACACAGAGGGCATTCAGGGAATACTGAGTGAGTGCTTGCCACCAGGACGGGTCTCCCCTTCACCCTCATCCTCCTGCAGAGAAGTCCTGTGCTATTCAGCTGCTCCTTCCCCCATGAAATTATCCTACATTAGTGACCTATTATTATACATAGAATTGTATAACAATGACTTGAGGTTATATAAGTAACACCCTTTCTAAATATTCAAAGTACAGGAAAAAAGCCAACATCTCCTTTTTTCTGTCTCTATTGCTGTTCTCTTCCCTGATGTCTATCATGTTGCTAGCTTTTTCATATAGCTTATATCTTTCTAAAAACCAGACATGGTGTGTGAACCATAAACCGTATCAAACTCCTGGACAGATAAGCATTACCACGTACTGAGCGCCTCCTCTGTGCCACTTGTCACCCATAGTCCTCATGGGCAGTTCTATGAGATATTATTGTTTTGCCTGTTGTAATAGTGAAGAAACAGTTAAGTATCTAGAGAACGGTCCAGCTGGTAGATGAGACAGCAGTCAGCCTCAGGTTTAACTCCAGCTTGGCGCCTAGTTTCATTCCTGTGGACTCCATTTTATTTTCACTCTTAAATTCTCCAAAGATTACTAACCCTCATCCCATTTCCTTCTCACTCTTCTCTTCCCCAGCTGCTCTGCTTTTTTTGAGAGCGATCATAATTTAATATTATTTTACTAGGCTTTCGATTTTTTTTT